GGTGGGCCAGGCCCGCTGCTAACCCCGCCGCGACCGCGATCTTCTCGTGGTCGCCATTCTCGCGCCGCCCACCCATGAAGTCCACGGCGCTCGAGAGTTTCTCAGCGGCTCGATGGCGGAAGAAGCTGCGCGGCGCAATCCTGCCGCGACCGGCCCCGGCCCGAAGATGCGTCGGACCTGCCGCCCGACGGGGCCCGCGGCAGCCATCGGTCCGTAAGCGCCAGCCCGTCGCGAGCGCAGTCGCCAGTCCGCCGAACATCCAGTTGGCCACCCGCGCCTTCTTGTCCCGCTTCTTCTCGGCGTTCGTCTTCGACTTCGCGCTCGCGGCCCCCGCTCCGGCGCGCTTCTCTCGGGGGTCAGTTCCCTGTTTCACGTTTGCTCCAGGTGGCGGTCTGCCCTCGGGCAGAGCAGTTCAGCCAGCTGGGCGAGACGGGAGACGAACGCACCCGTCAATCTGCCTGCGCCTGGCCAGGGAACGGCGTCGGCGGGCCGTTCCCCTCAGACGAGCGTGAGTCCGCTCGTCGACTGGGCCTCCGCGCGTAGCGCGTCGACGACACTTGCGAGCAAAACTGAAAGAGTCAAGGGGCGCAATGGAAAACTACGACACCGCGCGGGGTCGATCGACAACGGGAAGGGAGTGAAAAGAGACGAGGCGGGGCGCTTGAGCGCCGAGCATCGCGAATCTGATCGAAGTCAGACGTAAAACGTGAGATTGGGCACGGAGCCGCGCATCATACATCGTGGCTCTGGCCGAGACCCGCGGAAACATTGAGCCGGGGCGAGGGCCCGCGTCATAAGTAACATACTTGGCACCTTTCATAATATGGATGGTCGCGTCATCAGGTCGCCCCCCCCGCCCATCGGACCGCGCGGGGGCGGGGGTCAACGCCTGCGCCCAGCGGGAAATCAGGGAGGGGGTGCAAGAGCACGACGCGCAACAACTCGGAAGCTTCCCATCGGACCGCGCGGGGGCGGGGGTCAACGCCTGCGCCCAGCGGGAAATCAGGGAGGGGGTGCAAGAGCACGACGCGCAGCAACTCGGAAGCTTCGCCGGTCGGGAGCGATGGAAAACGGCGAGCGACATGCCGCATATCGCACGATAGATGCAGGTGGCATCATCCTCCCAAAACGCAATGATAAGAGCTTCTAGTGCCCCGAAGATCTCCTCGGACCGACGGATGAGACGGCATTTCGAAGCCAGGGGGGCCGCCTCGCGCTACAGGGGCCAAGGCAACCGCGATTTCATATTTGTCAACGCTCGATAGTTTAAAGGTTATCGTGGACGTGCGCCATAGACGCAGAAGCACATTAAACGATGGATGAAAGGATGCCGGCACAGAGGGCGCTGAGGGCGGGGGCGTTCCTTGCGAAGGGAAGGCCAGTAGCGCGCGCTTCGTGAGCGCGGGGAGTGGACTTCATGATGGACTGCTCCCAATGAGGAAGCGGCGGGGCCGATCGTCGCGCCGAGATAATTGCAACTCGGCGCGAACGGTAGGCCAAGCATGGGCGGGTAAGTGCCCGAGAATAATGCCGGGCGGTCTCGTAAGACCTGGGACTGACTCATGCTGCGCACACTCACATCTCAAAGGGCAATTCCAGCCGCGGCCTCCAGCCGCTAGATCACCTCGAAGAGATGTCGCGCGTGTGTTAATGTCTGCCGAATACCATAAGGACAACCATCTGCGCATTCCAGGTGACAGTGGAGGTGCGACGCACAATGAGCACTCATCTACTCTCGAAATGGGAGCAAGGGAGCAAGGCCCCCCTAACGCACGCCCCGAGATATTAGGATTACCCGACTGTTACCCCAGGACAGCCCTTTTCCGATCATGTGGCGCACGCAGACTTACCGATGAACCCAAGGGCCCCCGTGCGCATCAGGACCATCAGAAACAATCTACATGGAGAGGGCAGCGGCGGAGTTGTCCGTCACGGCCATCGAACTATAAGATTTCCTCGGGCATGCTCTTTAACCGCCCATGCTTCAGCTCGGGCGATATGGGCCGCCATGCTGCGACCCGGGGTACATGGCTGCGAGCGCGGAATCACATGCTTGGCAACTCCGTTGGGAGGCCAAGCCACGCAAACACTCACTATCTTCTCATCAGTGTTCGAGAGCGAGAGAGGCCTCGCATTATCTGGGCATCTATAAAATTGGGGGCCCACATCATCGAATCACCTTTGGGGTGGAACGTGATGGGTACCTGTGGCGCATCTTCAGGGGGCGGGTCTATGTTGACCAGGGCCACCTCATTATAATAATCGCAACGAGCTCTAAGGGCGTCGCTGGGGGCGCCCGGGGCGCCGGCCGCGCTGCGGCATTCCATCAGGACCTGGCATGCTATATTCACGACGCTTCATCAGCTCAGAGTAGCATGTCCCATGGCCACTGTCCTCAAATAGATCCGATCCTACAGGGGCGCGGCGGACGAAAGACAGCTAAAGCCAACGAACGCCCTCTCCTGCCTGCGCGCAGGACGCGTTGCCTCGACGAAACAGAAGGGCCTCAGCAGAAGCCTCTGGGGCGGGGGAAGGGTCTTTGTTTGCGCCCACCATTCCATCAAGCCGCGTGCGACTACGGAACTGCTGCCAGAAAGCGAGGAGACGCTCTCGAGCTTGCGTTCCTGCTTCTGCCCATGAAAGCCCACCGTGCCATCCTCCTCGAAACCGAGCGTCTCAGCATCCAAAACCTTCAAATGTGATTCGCAAATGTGGCCGCGCAGACCCTCCGGGTCAAAGCGTTCAAGAGAAGCGTCGTCGATGTAGTGCACGAGGCGCCCGGAGCACGAGAGAGCTCGGTCAATGAGACCGGCATTTGTGAGAGCGAAGCCCGCGAAGAGCAAGCGCGGCCCAACGATGACATTCCTCGGGTGTTCCAGCCAGCCTACAGTCGATGCGTCTCCTAGCAAGGGAGGCAGCGGCGCGCGTGAGAACCCTGGTCCAGCTCGGGTGCGGAGCAGCCGCCTCGCCAGCTGGAGCGGTCGCGCGGAGCTCGTCAATGCGCCTCCAGAGAAGCCGGAACAGGAATGTGATAAGAAGGGCTGTTCGCATTCGGCTGGCCCACCGTAGAGGTCTGAATTGTCGCTGCGGCAAGAGTGGCGCTGAGAGCCAGACAGCGGGCCCAATCCAGACGGGCAGCGCGGCCTCGAGCCAAACTCCTGGAATAACGCCATCACGTCGGGGGGCGTTTCTGGGAAGCCTGAGCGCGGCGACGGCCCCCTTGAATCCAGAGGCTCACATTCCAGGATGCAAGGATAACCGAACAGTTTCGCGCGCCCATCGGGGGCTTCGCGGCGGATCGCGCGCAGCGCATTCAGGAACATCGGGAACGGGTCGGAGGTGTTAGGCGCGCGGGGATAGGCAATGTTGAGGGCCCCCAGGGGGCCTTCAAGGGGGGCAAGGCGCATGCGGTCTACCATGGGGGGCGCTGGTATTTCAGAAAACGACTGCATCAATTCACGGCCCGCAGCCGCGATAACTCCATCGGCGTGCGAGATGTCAGGGGCGGGCGAATAGCCAGCGATGCGCGACGGAAGCTGCAGTGGAAGTTGATCCATATCCCTTAGGTGACCATGGGTTCTTGGGTCGCAGTAGCGCCCTTGGGCTCGCGCGAGCATCGATGGGGCGCCATCTTCCCGGCAGCGTGGCCCTGGCGACGGGGACGCGCGGACATGAGCGGGCCTCCGGCAGTCCACAACCATCGATTGCTGAGAACTACTATATTGCATGGACAAAAAACGCATAAACAATCCCGGATCCCGGACATGCCCCCGGCCCCCCCCCGCGGAGACCACAAGTGCCCTTGCGCGTATGCGTGGCCAGCGCTTGAGCGAGAGCACCGCTCCCAACTCTGGACGTGGCCGGCGAGCTGGTGGGAGCACCTTCTTCGATCAGGGATGTGGCTGGCGCTCGGGCGAGAGCGGCGCCCAGTGCTCGGGCGACAACTTCCCAATCGAGAGTGTAGTCGCCGCTGAAGGCGACAGCACTACTCCCGTTCAGGGATATGGCCGGCGCATCAACGACAGCGCCATTCGCCGCCTTCCCCTCCGATTCCGTGGGGGCCCTGTCTCTGCTGATCCGTGGGTCAAAGCAACTTCGCGCGCAGTGCTGCGAGGCTGTCTCAGGCAAAACTGGCTGAACAACGTCGCGCGCAGCATCCCACAAACCGCAGTTTCGAGGATGTCTCGGGCGAAACTGGCTCGACAACCTCAGGTCAGGACGCGCCACCCCTGCGCTCAGAAATGCGAGGATGTCGCCGGGGAAAGTGGCAAGACGCTGAGAAATGAGGAGAAGGCTGAAGGCTACAGACTGCGGAGGTCCAAGAGAGGGCTCGTGCAAGGTAGCGCCAGGACAACCCCCGGACCCCCCCCCGGACAGACCGCTTGACAATCCCCCAGACAATCCCCTTCAAGAAGCCGACGTGCGTGTAAAAGGCCTTGTCCTTGTATCGGGGGCCGCCAGTGGCTCTCTTCTCTCGGGCCACCTGAGGTCAGGGCACCTCTGAAACCAAGGCCGCGAAAACGGATCACCTCGCAAGCGGCGTCGAGCCCGGGCATGCAGCGACATCGCAGGCGAAACCGGGCGGAACGCCACAGATCCGGGCGCGCTTCAGCCCAGCGTCGCGAAGATGTCTCGAGCGAAACTGGCAAGGCAAACTCTTCATGTTGAGCAGGTCTCAATGCGCTGGCCCCGCGGCGGGAACAAGTCCCTGCAACTGCAAGACTCCGCCCAGGCACGCCCCGCGGGGGGCGCGCCGAGGATGCGCGAGCGGGGGCGGGGGGGCGCGAGAGAGGAGAAGCGAAGAGGAGAAGGAGAAAGCAGGCGCCCTTTCCAGCTGGTGACTTGCTGCGCCACGCTGCTGATGATACGGATGAGTAAAGCATGCGCGTGCGCTGGCAAATCGGCGCGGCCCGGGCGCGACGTGCCCTTGGACGACCCAACGAAGAACGGAGCAAGCTACACGGACAGACCCCCCATACCATCATCCCAGGAACCTTTTTTTCTATGCGATTGAGATAGATCGTCAGATCTGCGCGGCGACACGGGATCAGCGCAGACAGGCGGGCAGACGGGCGGCGCTGATAATAAAACAGAAGACGCCCGAGACAACGGCGTCGGCGCGCCCTAACCGCGCACGTAATGAGTAGGAGGCCTTGGGGCCCGAGTCAATGGAACGAAGGATCGCGCCGCGTCGGCCGGCAACGTCGGCGACGCATCGCCGCAGTCGCCGCTGGGAAACGCGGTCTCCACGTCGAGCCGCGTCGCCGATGCATCGGCGATGCGTCGGCGACGCGGCGCGATCCACCGACCCTGTCTACTCCGACCCATCTAGGGGCGCTAGAATCAGGTGGCACAGCCGGCTCAGAAGCTGCACGGCTGCAGACGGCTCAGAAGCAAGATGCGACACCCGAACTCCGATGGCTGAATCGAGTGAGCGCGCTGTGTTCTGGGGTTCCGTATACGCTTGTCCTACAGCCGCGGCAAGCCTTCGGTAGCTATGTCAGCATCGCAATCGATCTCCATGTCGAAAAATGTTCGTTGATCCGTTTCCGCTCGACTCGGGATGATTACCAGCCGACCGTCGTCTAATTTCGAAGCGACTTGCGTCCATGAGTCATCGCTCGTGGAGATGTGGAAGCAGCCTGAGCCGTAGCCCACGCAGCTCATGCGCCTCGAGTCACACCAGAGGCCCCTGTTGACGAGCATCGCTTGCATCGTTTCCCGCAAGCAGGAGAGAGCATCTTTCTGCTGCCTGGCTGGCAAAGGGATCTCACCGCGGACGCGAATCGGACGGTTCGCAGCTTCGTCGCGGCAGTTGCGCCGCATCGTCGGTGAAGTAAAAGCCAGCTCCTTGAAGCGTCTCCTTGAAGCGTGTGGCGCTGCCAGAAACGACCAGAGGATATCGAATGTATTGGAGCGGTTCGTTCTCTGAAAGGTAGGGGTAGCATCGGCAACGGTCGTCTGCGGGGCCTGGGTCTCGAGCCACTCCCAATGCTCCTTGCGGCGCGGCGATAAGGCATCGCGAGGCCATTCGCCAATCCATCCACGACGCGACTTCTGCGGTTCGCGCTCTTGGGAGTTCGTCGCTTCCACGAAGAAGTCCGGAGGTGGTTGTCAAGCTAGGCGCGTCCGTCGCTCGCTACTGCCAGAGCTTGCAGCCGCTGGTTATCCTGAACCACCTTGGGAGATGTGTCACTTGAGCCAGAATGGCTTGGGCCTCCACGTCCTTCAATTCGTTCCTGGTGATCAGCCGCTCCGACGTCCATATGGAGCCACGAAGCGTGTGAGGGGTGTACCGAAATGGGGGTTGGAACCGGACGCGAGCGCAGCCACTGGAGCGTTCGGTGGAGCTCCCTGTGTGGCCACGAAACGTGTGAGGGGTGTGCCGAACTGGGTGCGGTGGGCGCATGCGAACGCAGCCACGGGGGCCTTGGGTGAGGCTCCCTATGGGGCCGCGAAGCGTGTGAGGGGTGTGCCGAAATGGGTGCGGTGGGCGCATGTGAACGCAGCCACTGGGGCCTTCGGTGGAGCTCCCTGTGGGGCCACGAAACGTGTGAGGGGTGTGCCGAACTGGGTGCGGTGGGCGCATGCGAGCGCACCCACGGGGGCCTTCGGTGAGGCTCCCTTTGGAGCCACGAAGCGTGTGAGGGGTGTGCCGAAATTGCTGCGGTGGGCGCATGTGAACGCAGCCACTGGGGCCATTGGTGGAGCTCCCTGTGGGGCCACGAAACGTGTGAGGGGTGCGCCGAAATGGGTGCGGTGGGCGCATGCGAACGCAGCCACTGGGGCCTTCGGTGGAGCTCCCTATGGGGCCACGAAACGTGTGAGGGGTGTGCCGACTGGGTGCGGTGGGCGCATGCGAACGCAGCCACGGGGGCCTTGGGTGAGGCTCCCTATGGGGCCACGAAGCGTGTGAGGGGTGTGCCGAAATCGGTGCGGTGGGCGCATGTGAACGCAGCCACTGGGGCCATTGGTGGAGCTCCCTGTGGGGCCACGAAACGTGTGAGGGGTGCGCCGAAATGGGTGCGGTGGGCGCATGCGAACGCAGCCGCAGGGGCCTTCGGTGAGGCTCCCTATGGGGCCACGAAACGTGTGAGGGGTGTGCCGAAATCGGTGCACTGCGCGCATGTGAACGCAGCCACTGGGGCCTCCGGTGGAGCTCCCTGTGGGGCCACGAAACGTGTGAGGGGTGCGCCGAAATGGGTGCGGTGTGCGCATGCGAACGCAGCCACAGGGGCCTTCGGTGGAGCTCCCTATGGGGCCACGAAACGTGTGAGGGGTATGCCGAATTGGGTGATGACGATGGCGATGATGATGGTGGTGATGATGACGTCGATGATGTCGATGGTGATCATGGTGATGACGATGACGATGACGATGATGATGATGATGATGATGATAATGCTGATAATGATCCTGATGATGATGATGATGCTGATGATGATGATGATGGGAGGGGGGAGCAAAGGGGAGGAGGAGGAAGGAGGAAGGAACGCGGGGCGACGTCTCTTCAAAACGAGGACCCAACACCACAGGATGGTTGGGAAATGAAAATGAGCCTGACGAAAGACCCAACCATACGTCGTTGTGAATACCGCAATTCTGGATATCGTGGGGGCTCCTTCTCCTCCTCCTCCTCCTCCTCCCTCCCGATGGGACCACGAAGCGTGTGAGGGGTGTGCCAAAATGGGGCGGCGGCGCCATGCGAGTTGCGCCACTTGGACCTGAGATGCGGCTCCCTGTGGGGCCACGGAACGCGCGAGGGGTGTGCCGCAATGGGGCGGCGGCGCCATGCGCGCTGCGCCACGGGGATCTTAGGTGGAGCTCCATATGGGGCCACAAAACGTGTGAGGGGTGTGCCGAAATGGGGCGGCGCCGCCTATGGGGCCACGAAACGTGCGAGGGGTGTGCCAGAATGAGAAGTGGAACCGCATGCGAGCGCAGCCACTGGCGCCTTCGGTGGAGCTCCCTATGGGGCCACGAAGCGTGTGAGGGGTGTGCCAGAATGAGAAGTGGAACCGCATGCGAGCGCAGCCACTGGGGCCTTCGGTGGAGCTCCCTGTGGGGCCACGAAACGTGTGAGGGGTGTGCCAAAATTAAAATGTGGAGCCGCATGCGAGCGCAGCCACTGGGGCCTTCGGTGGAGCTCCCTATGGGGCCACGAAACGTATGAAGGGTGTTCCGAAATTGAGGGTGGAACCGCGTGCGAGCGCAACCACTGGAGCGTTCGGTGGAGCTCCCTGCGGTGCCACGAAACGTGTGAAGGGTGTGCCGAATTAGGTGCGGTGGGCGCATGCGAACGCAACCACGGGGGCCTTGGGTGAGGCTCCCTATGGGGCCACGAAGCGTGTGAGGGGTGTGCCGAAATGAGTTCGGTGGGCGCATGTGAACGCAGCCGCTGGGGCCTTCGGTGGAGCTCCCTGTGGGGCCACGAAACGTGTGAGGGGTGCGCCGAACTGGGTGCGGTGGGCGCATGCGAACGCAGCCGCGGGGGCCTTGGGTGAGGCTCCCTATGGGGCCACGAAACGTGTGAGGGGTGTGCCGAAATGGGTGCGGTGGGCACATGTGAATGCAGCCGCTGGGGCCTTCGGTGGAGCTCCCTGTGGGGCCACGAAGCGTGTGGGGGGTGCGCCGAAATGGGTGCGGTGGGCGCATGCGAACGCAGCCACTGGGGCGTTCGGTGGAGCTCCCTGTGGGGCCACGAAACGTGTGAGGGGTGTGCCGAACTGGGTGCGGTGGGCGCATGCGAACGCAGCCACGGGGGCCTTGGGTGAGGCTCCCTATGGGGCCACGAAACGTGTGAGGGGTGTGCCGACATGGGTGCGGTGGGCGCATGTGAATGCAGCCACTGGGGCCTTCGGTGGAGCTCCCTGTGGGGCCACGACGCGTGTGAGGGGTGTGCCGAACTGGGTGCGGTGGGCGCATGCGAACGCAGCCGCGGAGGCCTTGGGTGAGGCTCCCTATGGGGCCACGAAACGTGTGAGGGGTGCGCCGAAATGGGTGCGGTGGGCGCATGCGAACGCAGCCACAGGGGCCTTCGGTGGAGCTCCCTATGGGGCCACGAAACGTGCGAGGGGTGTGCCGAATTGGGTGATGACGATGACGATGATGATGGTGGTGATGATGGCGTCGATAATGTCCATGATGATCATGGTGATGACGATGGCGATGACGATGATGGTGATGGTGATGATAATGATGATAATGATGATGATGCTGATGCTGATGCTGATGATGATGATGTGGACGACTCCGTGGCCAGACGATTCTTTTTTGCGCAAATGGGGCGCCAGGCGAGGACAAGAAATCTGGTGCCGCAGGGGCCAGCACCAGGCCGAAGAAACATTCTTGAGTTGGGAACAAAGGGGGGGGAGGGAGAGACTTGAGAATGGAAGCGCGGCCCGAAAGAAAGCCACAAACAGCCGCGGGCAGCATAATGTGGACGACTCCGTGGCCAGACGATTCTTTTTGTGCAAAGGGGCGCCAGGCGAGGACACGAAATCTAGTGCCGCAGGGGCCAGCACCAGGTATTATGGCTAGTCCAAGACACTGGCTGCAAGCCGCAAACCTTGAATGAAAACTCACACACAATATCGGAGGCTATCGACATTGTTGGCCATCATTTCACATGCGCATCGTAGTATACAGGCAGGAGGGTGGCGCGCAGAGCTGCGCATCTGACGGTCTAACGATGGGATGCCTAGCTCGCCGAGATGTCGCCTCCGAGTGCGACGGCACGGCGAGGCGCCAGGCGAACAGGTCAGGGATAGCCTATCAATGCCTTTCACGTTCCAGCCAACAAGTCGAAATCGGTTTCTGACGCGGCCAGAGCACATGCAAGAGTCGAAAACAGTCGAAGAAGAACTCTGGCTCACAAGAGGTGCACGCACGGCCATCCCATATAAAAGACGCGTCGGGGTGGCACAATATGGCGGGCACTTTCTTACCACAGCATTCAGACAGGACGTGCAAGTACTGATCCTGGAAAAGGTTGGCGATGTAAACAGATCGAGCTTTAAAGTTGGTCAGGGTCGAGAGGCCGCGAGGATACAGCTTAGAACGAACAGCAGGGGAATGGCGAAGCCAGGTGGCGGTGTCGGGTTCCACCCACACGCAGGAGATGCAGTTAGAACGAATCCAGCCTAAAACGCGCCGCATCACTGCGGGATCGGTGATGTCGTCCCCAGGGTGGCGACTCGTGTCGAGGTGCACGACGCCGAAGCCCATCCGTTGCAGGGCGCGGGTTGCCCCTCCGTCGCAGCCGGGCACCAGCGCGGGGCAGTGCCTGCTTCTCGTAGAAGCCCGCCTGGCAGCGCGCCACAGGCGCGCCAGGCGAAGGCCCACCGTGCAGTGATCGGTGGAGGCGGCGGCCTGACCGCAGGCGGCGTCGGCGTCACTGCCAGCGGCACCTGCCGTGGGAAGACGTTCGAGGCCGTGGTCAGGAGGATGAGGTCGTTCTTCTGCCAGTCCACCTGCTCGTTGAACTTGACGACGGTCTGGCCTAGGTTGACGATCCGCTGCTGCATGCGGGCCCGCTTCACGAAGCGGAGAGGGATCTGGTCCGTGATCCAGTGGCCGCAGTCCTTGACCTCGGTCGTCGTGCGCCTGAGCGACAGCAGGTCGTCGGACGCACCCCCATGACGAAGCGAGTGAAGAATGAACTCGATCTCCAGACCGAGGGCGGCTGCTGCTCGACGGAACATGCCTCGCACCGCGTCGGGGGAGAAGGCCCAAAGGTCGTCGGTCGGACCCTCGTTGTGCACGGGTCGAGGTCGTATCACGCTCCTCGCCGTAAGGCGGTGGGCCTCGCTTGGCCTCAGGTAGGTGTCGAACATCAGCCCGATGAACAGAGTCGCGTCGAAGGGCTACCACGCTACCAGGACGCCCGCGACGGATGCCATCGCCGCTCGAGGTAGAGGGAGTCGCGTCAGTGGGAACACGAGCTCCCGCCAGCCTGTCAAGGCGCGAGCCGCCCGTGGGCACGGGGCGCTGCCAGCAAGGATCGCGGGTAGGTAGTGCGTCAGAGCGGGCGTGGGCACACGGCCCGTGGCACTGCCGAAGCCGTCCAGAACGCGGTTCACGCAGTAGGTAGCTAGGATGACACCGACCTCCTCCGCCGTGGCGAACGTCTGGGGCGTCGAGCGGCACCACTTCTCGAACTTCTTTGCGGCATCCCAGTAGTTGGCCATGGTCGTGTCCGACGCGGCGGCCGACTCC